CAGCGGACTATAATCGAGAACATTAGTAATGAGGAAGTAGGACGATTCCAGGCACCATAAACGGACAGCAGTTTATCATTCAAAACTGCCAGTCATCAAAATTTACCTTTTTGATCATCAAACCATTACTGTAGATGACTGCTCGGACTGCGTCATATTCATTGGGCCACGACTGGAAGGTACAAGTGGTGTAATGATGTTACTAAGATATGTCTGCTTTGCCTTTCCTGTGCAACTTAGCTTTCCTTTAGTGCTCTATTTTTTTTAGGATCGGACAGTCATTGGTATTTCATATTAAATTTGTCTGTGAGTTCTACATTGAGGAAAAAAAAGCGATGTAAGTTTTCTTTCTCTTCTCTCTGAATTTTGCCTTTTCTTCAAACAGTGTGTTCCTAAGAGACTGCCAGGACTGTGTCGTGATGGCTGCTTGTGGACAATTCAGGACCAGAGATTGCTGCAAGATGGATATTTTCCTTCTCTGCCAGACACAGCCTATCATCGAAGCCTCGGCCAAGATGAGATTTGGCTGCTTCCAAGCCTCATATCCTCAACTCAAAGGTTAAAGATCATTGTTCATGCAGCAGGAAGGTACCAATGGTGTAGGAGTATATATTGCTTCATGAATTGAGTAGTTAGTGTTTTTTATTTTATTATTAATATTGGATAAATTGTTTCACAGATCACTTTAAAGGTGCTGGACTGAGCATCTTCATAACAACTGGTCCAACATACACGATTTCACGCCTGTTGAAGGAGAGACCAACTGGTCCTGTTCCTCCCAGTCTGATGCCCTGGAACAAGCCTTCAAGCTGCCTGAAACAGAGGAGCTGAAGAGGTACAGCCTATGTTTCTTTCAATTACCATGGCTAAAGTTTATCAAACCTCCAAGATATTTATGATTTTAAGTAATTTCTGTGGACATAAAAATATTGTACAAGTTTGCATGTGTTGGAGTAATATGAATTGCATGTAAAATGACTCCTCCAAAAATTTATATAAGTGAGATATGTAAATTAGTAGAGGAATGATGTGAGACCAGTCAGTGTTTATGTTATAAGCAAATAAGTGAGCTAGATCAATGCAAGAATTAGTTCTAAGATTTTGATACATCTCATAACAATGATTAACCTTTCAGTGTTGAACTGATGCTGGGAACTGAAACGAGTGTTGTGCCGTTCACTCTTGGCTCACCAATGTATGGGGGACAGGAAGCCACACTTGTTATTTTCTTCTTTGATGAAACCTACCAGCAAAAAGCTATGGATTTCATTAGCTCTCTGAAATCAAAGATTGTAAGTGTGGAATATGTTAGATTACAACCCTTTTGGGCCAAATGTAATTTTCACATAATTATTATTTTTGTTATTAATATGCAATGAATGATAATATAATGAAAGTTTTTATTACTGTGATAACTATCATTAAAGAGAATAATATATATCTATATCTATATCTATATCTATCTATCTATCTATCTATCTATCTATCTATCTATCTATCTATCTATCTATCTATCTATCTATCTATCTATCTATCTATCTATCTATCTATCTATCTATCTATCTATCTATCTATCATCTATTATCTATCTATAAATAATATATAAATATATAAATTGATTGAGTGACTGACTGATTGCACTGGGAAAAAAGTAACTTACCAGGGTAAGGATAACAATAATTTTCTGTTTTCAGCAAAGTTGCAGGATCCAGCACAGCCGTGAGGTTAAAATGGAGATATCTGATGCCCAGAGAGTGTTCCAGACATCTCAGTACAAGAGTGCAATTAGCCGAGGACCATCATTGCACTACTGTGTCTCGGCAGTGGGATATCAGAAGCATGTAGCAAGGTGAGAGGATGTTTTTCTTTACATAAAGAGTTATATTCCAAGAGTAGACTATGAATACGGGTTGACAAGGGGAAAGTGAAGGAGGGTAACAGAAGGAGAAAGGAGAGATGAAGATGATTCTTATCTTTACCCACAGATCGGGCAGGAATTGAATGCAGATGCTCAGGACCAGGTGGTGTACGTGACTGCAGACAGCAACACAGCAATCAGCAGATTGATGCTTTCTTTTCCTATGCTTCAATGACCCTTTCCATGTAAGACTTACAAGCAGGAACTCCGAACTCTGGAAGCTATACGTATTATGTTCCCCAATGGGAAGTGACAATGTTTGGAAAAAAGATTCTTGATGTGGTTTCTTGGTGAAGTGTCCCTTGAAGTGTCTTTTCAAATTACAAATCTGATTATGGGATAATAACATTCCAGTTACATTCCTTGTGAATTATTTTATCAAAGCATTTTAATACTTTCTTTTCTGTTTTCCAGCTTTCATTATTTATTTTTTGTGATAAAAATATGTAATGGGAATTTTGTACAAAGGATGGACATCTTAAGTATGCATTTTGGGTATACTGTATGTACCTATAGGTTTTATTTATTTGTATATTATTGCAATATTTGATGTTATTTTAGATATACATTTAGTATTTACTTTGTAGGAAGTATGTATCAGCAGTCATAAAGAATTCAAACCATAGTGATGAACATCTAGTCATTCCTAATTTAAAGACAACTGATTAAAAGAGATCTATGTAGGGATAAAGGTATTTAGAAAGTTTGAGTTTTCTCATGTAATAAAACAAAACAGTAGTGATGGGTTTAAGCCTTTGGTTGTGAACACTAATTATTAGTGAAGTGAAAGCAATTATAATTAGAATAGTGGCTCTGTGTTGTATTCCTTTTAGTGATTTTAGAAGTGATTCGTTTACATGTTCAGGAAGCCTATTAGGAAAGAGTGTTGGATATATTCTAAAAGGAAGAATAGAGACTGAAGAATGTTCAGAATATCAGGAATCTGACTTTTTTTTTCTTAAAATAAGTAATTATGGCATTGGAATAAAAGAAAATTTATGATGTTAAATGGGGAGAGAAAGACCCTGGTCATTTATACAAACATAAACAAGAAAAATTAAATCCTATACTCAAGTAAAAGCTCTCCAAAGTCATCCCAAACACTCATATTTATGTTTTTAGTGAAAAACAATAATCAGCATGTCCAGAATTAAAACGTAGGAAACAAGACCCCCCTAGCTTTTCCAACGTACATCCTGTGTAGGGACCTTACTCCTAACCCAGGTACAACACCAAGAGTGCTACTGTTATCCCCATTGCCATTGGGTTAATTGTATTGAAATATATTATGTGATTGTTTTTTATATGTTGGTTTTACAAGTCTGAAATAGTAATATGGTAGTGTTAGTATTCTGTAATATTACATTTGATGTATCATTTCCAGACTGATCCACTTTGCACTAAAATACCAATTATGCTATAAGAAATGTATGAATGGATGCCTGAAGCCGCAGCACAAGAAGGAAATGCAATTATACAATTCAAATGAAAGACAGAAAAAAAATGTTGTACATCTATTAGTGCTTGTTTTGTGTCAAATATCTAGTCAAATTAGTAGACATCTTTTATATGTTTATGTATTGTGCAATATTGGTATATAATAAGTTTATACAGGTTTATGTACTTCAGTGTAGTTCCCAAGCAGTTTAGTATTTGGTGTGATACTTGTACACAACTAAATGTCATGGTTCACAGCTTTGGCATTAGGGTAGTAAACTGCTTAATAATTTACCTTGCAATACCCTTGGCATTTCCTTGACATAAAGAAAAGCGGTCTGATCATTATACATGAGAAAAGATGTGAATGTGAATGAATAATTCCACAGTGTAAGATCTGTAATTACCATTTCATATTACATCTATGAAAACCAGAATGACTCTTTCCTCTCAAAATAAAATGTGGAATTCATCATTCTCTTTCATACATTTTTCAGAATTTCTCACAATGAATTTTCTTATATTCACACATGTTTTATGTACTCATGTATTAATGTTTAAGATTTGTTGTATATAGGTTTCAGACCCAGCATTTCCAAACAGTTTAGCTTTCCATAGCGATAACCAACATTGCAATATTAAATTTTCTCCAATTCCTGAGTTTTAGAGGCTTAAGGCACAACAAGAGTTATTTCAACAATGCTAGTCTTATTGTGTGATTCTAATTATCCGTCCAAAATGTGATTGTAGTTAGCTGCACAAACTTTATTTTTTATATGAAGTTATTTTATATGTGTATGTTTTCTATATGTGAACCAAAAATATTATACAAATATATATATAGTGTGAAGTTATTCACCTGCCTGTAAAATTAGCACATTCCTTTAACATTGTACTTTTATATGAATAATAAATGCTTCTATAGGAGACTTCTTGAATTTATCATGGAATAACCAAAGCATTTTTGAATAGTTTTAAATTCTAACTATCACTTTTGAAGATTGGGTTAATGGGTAATTTTCAAGACAATTAAATGTGTTAGACATCAGAGGTCATATAGCACTTTACCCCTTTTGTGGCAAAAAGGGTAACAATGAGTTAATGATTAGGATAAAATTTATACGTCAGAGGTTGTAGAACCCCATAGGACCGCATGGTTAAGGGGGAGAGCAATTGGAATACAGTGAGGCTTTATAAAAGAGGAAGGGTTTAAGGGCTTAGGGTGATTGGATGAAAAGAAGAGTATCTGCTTCTGAGGAAGGAAGAGGAACACCATATAAAGAAAACTGCAAGAGAGCCAATATGAAACAATCAACAGATAATATGGGAAGAGATGGGTGTTGGAGAAGTAGGAGAAAAATCTGGGAATGAGATAAGAGAACAAGGGAAAAAAGGAACGAGATAGAGAACAGGGGAAGGTGTTGAAGTATCAGGAAGAATATCAGGAAGAGAAGGATCCAGATATATTTGAAACACAAGGGAGTCATATGAGTATCCAGGTTGGAGCAGCAGGAATAATAGAGAAACAAGAGGGAATGGTGAACACAGTGAAGGTGAGGATGGAGTGTGTTGGGATAGAGTGGGAGGAAGAGGGTAGGGGAACTTGAATATGAGGAGAATTTATATCTACAATTACCTTGAATGTAGAGGAACTTGGAATGGTGAGATTGGAGGGTGGATGAGAGTGGAGCATTCTCTTGGGTCAAGTTTAGGAAGTTTTGGATATCTTCAAGAGTGTCAGGAGGGGAGTTGGGTGAAGGTCTGAGAAACAAAAGTTTTATGAGGGGGAGAAGAGATCAGAGGAAGAGGTGGGTGTAGGAGAGGATGTGGTATAAGATTGGGTGGAACATTTAGATTGCCTAGCACAATCGGTAAAGTGGAAGACGGGTAGGCATGGGGAAGTGGTAAAGATTGGAGCATCTGGATTTAGAATGTGGGAGAGACCATAGGAGTAGAGGTAGGATGGTAAGGGGTAGAGGTAAGAGATACTGGGGGAGATAATGAGACATCTTGAACAGATGGCAGGGAAGCAGAGCCATGAACTGCAATGGAATAGGTACTTCCTTTATGGCCTCATGGAGTGTGAGGCCTAGTTTGAATCTGAGAACTGCTACCTTAAATTCGAGCTTGTAGGCACGGCAGCTCTCGTAAAATATTTTATGGGAGGAAGGGTTAATATGGTTGGACAGTGCAGGACACTTTACCAACATAATTTCATCAGGGAGATCCTGTCTATGGAAGCTAATCCTGGCAATACTGGTGTAGGACTTACACTGGCCTCTAGGAGTAATAGTGTAGCATGATGGTCAACTGGCAGGAAAACAGGTCGTTTTCAGTCTGACTAGTTTTTGTAATAGATAGGACAGTCAGTCTAGGAGATGGAAACAGTTCCAGTGTAAATATTAAGGGAGGACTGAGGTTGGTCAGGATTAAGTTTGCCAGTGAAGTCAGTCATGGTAGATAGTGCACAAGCATGTCACTCGCATGTAACTGTGACAGGGCATGAACGATTAGAATGATTGTAAAAGGAAACTTTTCCTAATTGGTTTTGGAGAAATCGTTAGAAGAGAAGTTTATTGTTAGAGTAAGGTGCTGTAAGGCTGGAGGAAGACAGGGTATAGTGTTGTGATGTAGTACTGTGGGAAGGAGGGCATTAAGGATGAATAGTAATAAGGGAGAAAAAGGTAGACAATGAAGAAGAAGGCTAGGATTTATTTAAATGTTTCAGTAACAGAATTTCAAAATAAAAAGTTGTTTTTTTGTGTAACAACTGAACCATCAAAGATAATAATATAATGCTTTTGGGTTAAGTTAGTTTTCTCCTATAATTTAATCATATATTGAATTACTGCATAAGCTCTATATACCTATATTGTCTATATACCTGCAGGCTATAATTTTAATTCAGGCTCTATGATATGCTTAATCATTCTGAATTTTCATCTTTACGCAAAAGAAATCTTGCCTTAATGTAAATGAATCAAAACTCTAGAGATATGCAATTATATATAACCTAAATACCTTCAACATATCAATACAATTGATTTACACACATGTACTATCACATTCTTGTGTTATGTGGTGAAGAAAAAAATATACATCTCTATCTCAACTTTAATTTCAAGAAACAACAATACTCAATATCTTCCTTCCCATCACAGTTTGGTAATTTGTCTTCAACACATCTTCTAGTTCATACGTAAAAGATCAACAAGTACTCCCTCAGGCTTCATATAAATTGCTTTTTCAAGGCCATGTAATGAAACAACATATTTGCCATGAGAACTTTTTATTACCCTGCAATCTCACTGCAATTCCTTCTTACCAACTCTAGTCACAGTAAACACCAAAGGTGAACTACCCAAAGCTAACAAGGTTATAATCTTCTGGTTAGTTCATTACTGCCTTCAAAGTTCTATTAATTCATAAAGACAAATATTTACACAAACTTTAATTTCATACATCTGAAACAAGATAACATGTGATTTAAATGCTTTAAATAACATGCTCATTGCTTCCAAAAAATTTAGTTCACCGTACACCATAATTTATCTAAAATAAAACTACCTTTGTGACAGGCAAATCTCTTTCTTTTTAAACACTAAGAAGGAAATGATGACAAAAAATAAATCTTTTAAATTATCACATGTCATACACATTAGCAATAAAAACTTAACGATACAAATGCCATATAACAGAGAAAGACAGGAATGCAAGTTGGAGCTGCATGGTTGCCTCTAACAAGGTATTGCAGTCAAAGGGATGGTTAAGTCCCTCAATACTGTGGAAGGACTTGACAATACTGTTGAGGGACTTGACCTAAGAGAGAATTGGCCACAGTGTTTGCCCTATTTTAGTAATACTTGCAACATATTATCAAAACCTGTAAGGCAAAGCAAGAGACAAATAAATTAATAAAAGGGAATATTCTTAGCGCATGGAGAACTCTCTTGACCGCAATCCTCGTGCCATTCACTACATAACAACATCCTAACTTGACTCTACGTGACAATGGATTAGGATATTAAGACTACAGGAAACACCCCTTTCATTCTTTTCATCTTTTTATAACAACTGTGCTAGGTTTTCTAATCACTGCCTGCCATTATTTTATCCTTCTTCTTCAGCTACTAATAGGCAAACCT